ATAAAAGCTAATAAACTGAAGTCTCGCGGTCGGAAGAATTTATAGTTGCGAGCACGATGTACGCAGGTACAAGACTCGAGACATTTAACACGAAATACAGTAAATTATCAACACACTACACCGGAGGTGTGTGTTAATTAATTCAGTCGGATCGCGTTTGAACACGACGGAGAACCGCTGTAGCCTCGTTTTCACCGAGCGCAGCTACGCGACCATTTTTCAAAGTCGTTTCGCCTCGAAAGCGGGGCGCCCTGGCTGAGAAAATTTCGTTTTACATTTTCGATTTATTTCGTCGCGCACGCCACCTGACCCCCTTTGTCCCGACGTTCCAATTCTTTGCGTACACAAATTGCGCGTCATTCTCCCCCCGAAAAATAAAAGATCAACCATGTACCTATGCATCCGGTCCAAAGAAATGAAAGACAAATAATAAACCAAACTGGGACAATAGAAATAGAAGATGACGTATTCGCTCCGGAGAGATTTAAAGGATTAAACAAGAAAGGTCGTTAAACTGTCGCCTGAGGGATTAAACGAGAAACAAGAAGACCCACGGAATTCCTGTTTCTTCTCTAGAAGACGGTAGCAGGAAGATGATAACACAGGATGGTAACAACTACGCTGAGATGACGATAGATTCATCGAGTAACGTTATCGAAACACAAGTTCGTCGTCTGACAATGAGGCTTCTTTCAGCCGTAGCATAGGAGAGTATAATGCGGCGCAAGTTAAGAGAAGCTCCGGCCAAGTTTCTCCTCCTGGATGGACAAAAACACGTAAAACGGGCAAGTTCGTAAACAGCTCGGGAGCAGTTTGCGAACTGTTCGTCACAGGGTGCGCGCGCCCCCCGTGCGAGCATCGCGGAGAAGTCTCCTGGCCTGACACAAAGAACACATTTGCCAGATATTTCTTTGATCTTATCGCCGGAAACTGAACCACCGTAAAAACGTGCCGGGTGGATGCCGACCGCGAGCCAAGTTAGTTGGAAGCTGTTCGAGGAACTTACCGTGCTGAAACCACCCCTAAACCGTTCCTCCCACGTGTCTTTGAAACCGTCATTTACCACCCTCGAATCAACCAGTAAAACAACCGATCTAATGATACTGCTTTAGTACGATTTCATTAAGAGCATAAAAACTTTTGGGAAAAAACATGATTCCACATTATTCGCTTCAAAAGCTTGAACGCTATTTAGCTTGAAAACACCGTGTTATGTCTTCCACGAAGCTTTGAAACTTGCCAAGAGATTAATTAGGAATCAAACGACAGCGTTTCACGACTCTTGTAGCTGTAAATTAATTCTTTTGAAGTTGAAACGATTTTGGTAAACTGTCCCATCATTTGAAGTGTCTCTAGTTACGTATTAACAGAGGCTTTAATTAGCGCTGGCAAAGAGAATTTGATGGCTTCAAGCAACAACGGATTTTAGTTAAGACGGAGAAAGGATATTTACCGGAATACACCGAGTTCGTTATCAATGTCCGGAACCAAAGACTTCTATGCAAACCTCGTCCGACGGCAAAGAAGCTCAGGTTCTTAATTAACTGATAACCTACCGTTCGAAACAGAACGCTGATAAGCCTTCGCAAGGAACTTTCTATCAGTTAAAATCATCGTATGACGTAAACTACTTGAAAATTTCATTTATCCATCGTGCGAATTATCCGTTTCAGAATTACTTAGTTCCCTTTTGAGCACCAGAAAATATTCGATTACATTACGCGCGCGATTAAAGTTGATGCCGCGAAAGAAAAGTTTATTTGAGCGAAATTTTCCACGAGCCTTGCCGTGAATCTCTCTGCGGGTGCATCGATTTGAAAAGTCTTCGCCGACGCACAATACACTTCAATAATATGAAATATGGAGAACCCGGGCCAGAAATATTGCATAAATCACAGGGGCACGCGCGCACCCGCCCGAAAATTTCAACAAAAGCCGCGGTGCTGCGCGCGGAATGTTTTTTTCCACGAAATCCACTTTTGAGCGGTTTCGAAAACTCAAACGAAATCTGAAGTGGCTCAAACAATCCTGACGCGACGAACACGATTCAATAGAAGAAAGAACTCTCGAGGAGTGCAGTGGTCGCTAATATCCCAGGTATTAAAATATAAACGACTTGAAATTCTCCAACAATTTTTCCAAGGGGCTTGAAGATAAGGTGGAGTGGCATAAAAACATTATAAAGCTCCTTAACGTTCAACAACTGAAGAAAAATGACGAGAACTGCGCTTAAGTTCATTTGTCAAATACTATATTTCTCTCGTTTCTTCGATGCACGTACGTCTTTGAACTGTAGATTGCTCGAAGGTAATCCAATAAGAGAATTCTTCCGCTAGGAAACGGGAGGAAGATTGTAGTCAGGAAAATATCTCCAGCTGACACTTAACTTTCAAGGAGAGCCTACTTTCTAAAATGATCAGGCTGCCTTTAGCCAATAGCTGATGGCCTCACTGGCTCGTCATGATTGCCTCTCGTGGACCCAGGCAACTTGCCAGGAACCCGGTAGTCGTTCGGTTGTCTCTTCTCCAGGCAGAAAATTCTGCCCGGAACGATTCGTATCACTTGTTACGAGGTGGCATGCGGACCACACCACGTGACATTCGCGACTGCATCTCTGTACACGGTTGCAGTAACCTTTGCGGATCGATTATGCAATGCCCGAATACACGCTCCTTCTACTTCTTTAATTTCGTCGACTTATCTATTTTTATTTTCCGCCCTTCCAAATTTATCTATTACTATTCCAGATTTATCTATTATCTACATTTAGATCAAATCTACGGTTTCGCATGAGTTTCATTCGATAACCCCATCGGTTTTATCCATAGAAACTTCTCTTCTACCGGACTGAAGTCTGACAATGAGCTATTAATCAGCGTGAAAGAAGATTTCTACATACGTCCACGTATAACACTGATTACAGTTTATGTAACGACGCGGTAACTCATCGAGCGTAGCTAATCACTATCAATCTTCAAAGCTAGCGACTGCACGTTTCTAATGAAAGCATGATTCATACCTGACGATTTCTCGCATAAAATGTTTTATGAAGAATTACTGTTTTTTTCGATCTGTCTTCGTCAATTACCATTCTTCATCTTTAATTCACTCGATGCCATGTGCGTATAGTTTGGAGAACATTTTAGATAGGATAACCCGTATACCCCTGGATTTTCAACAACGGAATAATCGAAAATTGATGTTCCTGGAGGACCGAGGCACAATCGCCATCGCGGATTCAAAGGGAAAACTTGGAAGTTGGCAACAAGACCGGACGGAATTAATTCAACGAATGGAATCTTTGTTTCACCGAACGAACCGCATCCACGGAGACCGGTGAAAGTGAAGTTTCTCCGGTACGGGGAGCATTCGAACAATGCGTCGAACAATGTCTACGGCCACGCCACGCCAGTGTCAAACTCGAGTCGGAAGCTTCTCCATTTACCCAGCGGAAACAAAGAGCATCGCTAATCGTGATCATCGACACCGGCTTGAAAACATTTTCGCTTCAAGAAAGTGTCGAACTGTTTCGTGACGTGTTTTCGAGACGTACAAACTTCCCAAACTCTGGGAAAGTTCACCGGTCGGAAACCTGATTCTCAGGAGTTGCGAAACATCGGACAACATGTTGCAACTGTTCGCCAAGGAAAACTTCATTACTGACGAATAGCATCAATCATTATAGCGAAATGGTAATTTTTCGCTGTCGCATCGTTTCTAATCAGAAGTCCGCGACCAATTTTAACCATTAATTTTATCCGAATCGGAAATGTAAATATCCGTCGCATCGCGATTCAATTCATAAGTTCGATCTAGCAACGGAATCGACGGAAGATGGGACGGATCATAATTAATTTGCAGTACGTACCGCGTCCTTCGTAATTCAATGATTGTTGAAAATGATGTTTGCCATACGTAATGGCGCAAATCGATAGGCTCGTATAAGCGGAGGGAAATTAACGTCGTGCCATCCAATACGCAGGACGTGTATCCGCTAGATACAACCAGCATCGAAACCCTCAATTTGCGGCAATAACCTGAGCCTCTCTCCCGGCAAGGGACGACTCGCCAGATCCGTGATCCCTCGTACGCTAATTACTGCCTACGTCAAATTCCCCCATTGCAAACTGCCGCTAGATCCAACAACCGCAATAAAGATTTTGTCGATTAATCGGGATTTCGACGGTGAATCTTTGCTGCCGATCTCTGGCAACAATCCCCGACTGTTGTTCGATCGTTAGGAACTCCACGGTAATATAGGCTCGGATACAGCAATTGCGAAATAGTGATTTAGGATTTAAACTAAATTTAACAGTGAACACAATCTACAACGCCTACAACTTCTCGCCTTTCGTCAACGATTTCATTATATTAAGAAGTCTGTTCTTTCTATTAAAACTGCTCCGACAAGTTGAAATTCGATAAAATGTTGTAATGAGGTTAAAGCGCCGATAAGGTTATCGGATAGTTTATACATAACAGTAGGGGAGTACCATAAGCGACGGTATCGCATACTTGGTATGTATGAAGAGACTGCGGGAAGCAGCCTCGATCGAACTATTATACTGGACTTTGAAGCATTCCACGCCCTTAAGATGTTCCCGATTATCCTCCCTTACCGATATTCCCTGACAGTGATATGAAATTTTATGGAAATTCGAAAAGGGCAATATTCCTACGATTGTAAAGCCCATAAAAAAAATCCCGTTCGTGTATTCTCGTTTAAAGACAAACAAAGCTATTTGTTACTTTCATTATACGATAATTCCAATGAACTATTAAATTTTGTTCTACGAAATCATATCTCGACTATCAGAACGATAAAAGGATCGACTGGTTCGACGAGAATTGTATCCCGTGCCTGAAAATAATTTTCCGTGAAACGTACTACGGGAAAAATAAGCCGGATCGTTCAAATCAAACGTCTCCCGGTTTCGCAATTTCTCACGGAATGGGTCGTGCCGTAGTTCCATTTTAAAGAAGAAATGTACGATATTTACCGCTGATCCACGTGCCGTTGAAGCTCTTCGGGGATAACGAGCCCGCGAGCCATTCTTCAAGGGAAATACCAGGTGCGGCTGGCGCTCTAGAGCCAGAGGAATCCAGGCTTCCGGTTAGAAGAATCGCCGCAGCTACGACCAACCCGAGCACCATCACTGCGACCAAGCAGCCAGCCAGCAAACGCCGCCAATTCTTCTGCGTTTTCGTCATCAGGTCCTGAAACAATTACGATGCACATGGGAGACGTGGTCTGCACTTCGCGTCCACTTTGTCGCGCGTTTTATCCGTGCAAGTAAGGGAAGTTACGAAGCTGACAGATGCCAGAGGACAAAGCAAAGTGAGGAGAACATGGTCCATTGTTAATAGGACGCCCAAACAGCTCAGGGTTTATGATATTAATTAAAAGTTGGAAAGCAACTAATTTTTAATATCAGTTTGTCGCACAAGTTTCTGGTTTCTCATGTATAATATAAAATTCTGTATGTGAATCTAATTAGGAAAAATAATCAAGAAAAGATACTTCTCGAGATACTTAGCATTTCCTTAATATTCGATACAATCATGTCTATTTTAGCCCTCCCTTTATCAATTTTTTTTCTTCCTTCATTGACCTGAGAAGGCTGCCTCTTTCGCACCAACAATCATTCCCTTTAGTGTTTACTTAACCCGAACCTTTTTAACGCGACGTTTAACTTTCCTGATGGGAACTTCATTCATGCATTTCCTCGGCTGCGGAAAGCGTTTAGTGGAAGATAAAAGGAACTATCTTAAGTCGAGTTCATACTCGGTTACTATTAGATAATACAATGTTCTTACTTTTTGAAACAAATTTGTATGCAAAAGTGACAGAAGTGCTTTCGTGAGGAATAATAAAAGTATTGAATTCGACTAGTCAGTCAGAGAATGATTTTATATTTTACGAGACTTCCTTGCGGAATTGTGATCACGATTTGAAAAAGAAACGAGAACCCGATTTTTACGGCGATTGTCCGCGCGTGATAACGCGACACGATGACGACGTGGCGGATTCATGATCGATCATGCGAGTTTATTGAAGCGACCGATCCTGTGTGAGAGCGGCCTTAGGCTCATGGCACGCGCGATCAACTCTGAATGCGAGGGGCTGATTCAAAGAACGAAGGAGAGGATTCACCGAGAATAATCACCGTTTAAAATCGTCTCGCATTCACTCTCTCCTTCCCTCTCGCTCGCTTTGGAAAACTTAAACAAATATCGATCAAAAATCCGACGAGATCGTTCGTCAAACAAGGACAGAACTTTTCAATTATCGCAGAGAATGTGGCGACGGTGTCTGGCCTAAGTGGGGCCAAGCGTTTCTCGCCGCCCCGTGATTACATTATATTCGACCGCAACGAGAATTTTTCCTGGGATCAACGCTTCCAGTTGTCTGGCTCGAGAGGAGAGGAAAAGGAAAAAGAAAGCGAAAGAGGATTAATAGCTACATGATCGTCAAAAAGTTTAAAACGATATCGTAGCTAAGATCGACCTTTCGTTTAATTAACAAAATAATTTCTCTTACAATTTAGTTTAACACTAGATNGTTTCCGTCTTTCTAGTGTTAAAAATGATGTATTGTAGTAAATAAATTATTACTTAAACTCTGAAAAAATAAGGGAATCACTTTATTCGTCCCGTAGCCCAGTTTAATTAGGTCGTATCGATCAGATTAAGATTTTGAGCTATCGACATATCACTCACCAGTTACTAAATGATAAGACGATCATAAGAGGATAATATCGATCTTTTGAACGGAACTGTACATAGCCATGAGATCTAAAGATCCCGCGATTTTATTTCCCCTTTATTACACGCGGATTCCGAGCACAATTTCATTTTCCTTGGCTACCCGTAAATTCTCCAACGATCCTTCGACCGCTTAAAAAACGCTATAATCCCCGCAGGAGAATCGCCCGTGTGATTTATCGCGGTGGATAAATGTTTCCATTGATCGCGACAAGCGTAAAATTTTGTACGGAACTAAATAACCCACCGGATGTTCAGATGACCCTGATAAAAAATTGCGGATGCAAAAAAACCGTACGTTACGTCTACATTTCTCATGATACGCTCGAGTATCTAGATTTATGAACCTGCGTAGGTGAAGGCGTAGCCAGCTTCCTCTCTGACAAATATTAATTCAGACCAGAGACCGTAGCGGAGTTAATCTACAAACGCGACTCATTCTCGAGTAATCGAGAAACTTTCATAATTTCTTTCATCGAGGCAGAATTAAATTTCATAACCAATTCATTTAAGAGATGACAAGTTTTCTTCTGGGAAGAACGGAGTAATCTTCCTCCGGACAGACTGGAGAACTGGTACAGTCACGTACACACACAGTCTTTCATTCACCCTAAAATTCTTGCTCAACGTTAATTTGTCAAGGAAGCTGTAATATGCACGTACAGTTTCGTGCAATAACATAAAGTGTCGCGTACGCTGGGCCGAGTGCCGGGTTTCAGATGAACAACGTTAACTGCCTCCGGTCCTCTGAAATGTTTAATTTCGTTCCAAGTATTCTTCATATTCGACGGTATTAAACATTCAACGTTCGTGCGTGATCTGTCCTAGATGGAACCGTTATTGATGGCGATCGTTTGTATACGGACAGGTATTAAACTTCTTACAACGGTAATTGAGGATACGCGGGATACTTCGAGCGGTGCGATAAGAAATATATGGACGGGACGTGAGGTAATATCGGGCAAGTCTTATCGTGGCGTGACCCTCGGATTCCATATTCTTAGAAAAGTAACAGCCCGGTTCGGCGTGTCTTTAAGGGTGGTAACTTGAACGATCCTCAACATCGCGCTTATAAGCCTCTTTTATCAAAATTAAATTTGGCTCCCTATGGACTCATCCATTCTCGTGAAAGCCTATTAACGGCACACCGGGTGAGCGTAGCCTCTCATTATGGAATTCCATTTAACGAAATAATTATTTTTAGAGGGAACTCTTTTACGTTGCCCCTCGTAAAATGTAAAAATATTGAACGTTCACGGTGTCCAAGCTTCGAGAGTTCTTTTACGCGTTACCGATATTCCTACATATTTTTAATCATCAATTATCATATTCATTTCCTATCTCGCAGATAATACGACCTTTCTTCATTATTCTGAAACAATTTTTTTTCTCCGCGACGTTTTAATATGCCAAAGGTCATAAAGATTCTGTAAGAGAGAGAAACTATGTCGAATCGCTAAAATGAAACAAGAAACGTCGGTGGTTTTCAGGGAATAAAATGATCAGGAAAATCTCGCGGTATCTTGAAAATGGTTTAAATCATCTTTTTCATCGTTTTCAAAATTAATGAAATTCGCAGCATGAAAGTACAACGGAATTTCAATAGGCAAGAGAGAAGTCACTGCTTCCCAATAAATAATTATCTTGTGGGTTACGTAGAGAAATATACGTATAAATAAAATATAGGAAAACTCGATTTGGTCGGAACGCTTTCCGATACAGTAAAACGAAATGAACGCGAATACTGTTCTTATTGAATCGCAATGATTTTTCGTTTAAATGTGAAAAGGAACGTGTATCGGTCTGAATAATTGTTTGCACGATATTTTATAATTTTTTATTTTATTCGAACAATTTCGCATCCGATGAGAAATATTCCCGGATTTTTTCCCAACTTAATTCAACACGTGACGTGATGTTGGTACCATCAACGATTATCGATTTGCAATCTTTCTTCCCATTCGAATGCAGCGAACAATCGTTTCCCTCCATTGTTTAAACATTCCGAACGGCGCTTTGTGCTCGGACGATTTATAATAATCGTCGTACAGAATGGCAAAAGAAAATAAATGTTCAGTAAAATATATACGTACATATATATATATATATCTTATTTCCGCAGTTGATTAAAGAGAAAAAAGTAATATACTCTAAGGGCCGCGCAAGGAGAGTAAATAGAGACCCACTCTCGCGCGCGTGGGCGCGGAGTTACCGCAATTACAGAATTTTAATTGGACTCTCGGCAACTGCGAAAGTTGTAGCGCCGAGGGCAACGCTTCTAGTTACAAATCAATTTCATTAAAATGCTCCCAATTACATATAAACATTACTTAAATAACCTACTCCCGTTTAAACCTGGCAATTTTTACCTCTTCAAAAATACGCGACTACCGAGTAAACGAGTTGTGGAGTTGGTGGCCACGCGAAACTTTCGACTCGTATTTTACCAGAAAAAATTTACGCCGACTTTGTACCAGAAATTAGTTGGAAATTTACTTGTTTTATTCAGAAGATGATCAATACTCCAGTTCCTTTTTTATTACATTTATCGTTTGTATGTGAAAAACATTGGTGGACGTCCACTGTTCGTCGAGAATGATGTTACGTCTAAGTAGCTACGAACTTAGGCGCTCAAGATTTTAGATGCAATTAGTCTAGTTTCGCGGGAGACATTGGGAAACAATATAATATCCAGGATAGCTAGGAGGGGCATGAATTTCACTTGAAAATGCTGTTACAAAGTGATGAGATATGTTCGACGTGCAATTTCTCCTCGTATATTTCGAGTTGAAAAGGTCATGACGGTTCAGATGGCATCGATCTCGAATGCACGTATCGTCGTGAAACTGCCGTATTAAGAACAGGCTAAGTAGGTGCTTCGGTATTCAGCATCACGGAGAGAAAGGATGCAATTAAGTACCTGTGCCTATCTCCCAGTGAAAGCCGGCGAACCGAATGAAGATGCAAAGAGATATGCTCATCCCTCGGGGGAGATTAATGCTCCTTTCACACTGGAGCGAATCAGGTCATTCAAGCTGAGTATTGTGGAAGTTCGGTGTAAATGTTCGCGGTGCTCGATTAGTAATTGGTTCTGAATGCGGCCCAGTCACGGCGAATCGATCATTCATCCTCGCAAGTGGAAACGCGTTAAAATTTCTGAATTAATGCATTACAAGCGAAAAAAATGCATTGAGAGAGAAAAATATTCCGTTCATCCGCGAAACGATCGGTAAAAATTCCATCGCGTTCTATACATAGGTAATAGATGCACGCCTCTGATGGGAACGATAATTACGAGTGATTATGTCCTTGCTAAAGCTTTCTCATGCTGTTCTACAATCTGTAATTACCTGCTCTCGGGTCATATTTAATATGATATATTAATTATTCTCGCTATAGATAATATTGAACACGACCGTGTTTGCGGATCGCAAACAATAATTAGAAAGCTA